CATTTTGGAGTATTAGCTACCTTGCGGTGGTATGAGAGCCTTTGCGCCCCATCGTGTTTCACCCTTTCAATCCCCCTACACTCGAAATAAATTACTCTCCTAAACATGAAGCAATAAATCAAAACTTGGCCCTTTCGTTCGGTTCTCTAATGATTTTACAGCCAACGGCGGTCAACGAAAGCCAAAATGCAAATCGTTTTCTTCGAGTACACACAACAATATGAATTGCTTCTAAGTAAACTAATTCAGTATGGTCAATATGTGTGTTTATCACAAAATTGCGACAATCTCAATTCAGAGGCGAAATCTAAATATAAACGTCGATGCCCTCAGGGATCGATTCTGGGGCCAGTATTGTTCACTATGTATATATAGGGTGACTTCGAAGTTGAGTCATTTATTTTAACAGTGAGTAGATCTGATCAAAAGAAATGTTTTTTTCCTTTACCATTTTTCTGGTAAAATTAAAGTAACAAAGTTATAGCCCATTGGCAGTTTGAGTACCGCCCTGTCTCAATAATAATATTATGTGCTCGTGTTTGGCAACAACGGATATAATCCGCCTTATCGGTTCATCGCATCGGAAACACAAAAAAGCGAAAGAATTTGGAACGATGTTTTTACAATTATTTTATTCAGTTGTATACAGTCAGTGTCAGTCGGTAACGCGTGAGCGAATAGTGGTGTCTGTTGCGTGGCTCAAACGAAGTCAAAAATGGCACATGTTTACGAAAATGCTGAACTTATGGATATGATTCTTATTTACGCGGCATCATGGATTTATGCGGATCAGTTTCCCAATAGAGTGCAACCAACTCCTCGTGCCTTTGTTAATGTAGTACAAAGGGCTCGTGAATCAGGTGACTTAAGACCTCACAGGGGACGGCATGCCGGTGCTCCAAGACCTCACGATCAAATACAGGTCCGCACTGAAATACTTGTCGCGAGGATACTTTATAAAACAAGGTAAAGTTTTTTTTTATTTTTACACACATATTTTGGTTTATCTTCCTTCTACAATCATTATCTGAAAATTAATGACTCAACTTCAAAGTCACCCTGCTTAGCTCAAAGCTCGTTGAAACTACCGGAGAATCTGACTTTATGAATATTATTTATTTGCGCCCAAGTTTCCAAAGATTGCTCCAACTTTCAACATTATTATCGAATGTTTCTTATCAGTACATTTGCTTGATTTCCGTCATTGCTATTGTCTGGTTTTACAACGATGTTATAATAAAATAAAAATCACGTATTCGATCAAGAATTGTGACTATGATTGAGCAAACAGATTTAACCTAAATCGCATCGCATACCTGAAAGCCTGTCTAATACAAAACTCGTACGTAATGAAAAAAGTTGACAATGGTTAGAACTAGTCTCCGCTAATGTGATTATAATAAAAGTGGTGTACACGTTAATACCGTGTAAAATTACATCTATTATTGCGTATTAAGGTATTGTTAGGATTCCCCAAGGGATAACTAGGGTCATAGCGAGGTTGCCAGATTGTCTATTTTGCCGTTAAAAAAAGTTTCGTTATTTTATTAGTAGAAACTTTTAGTGATTAGCATTTAATTTTCGATATAAATTAGATATCTATGGTTATTTACAGAAGTCTTTTTTTATTTTAACCATAGACAAAAGGGACTACTGAGCCATGAGTTGTTCTTTGACTGTTTTTAGGCAATAACTACGATCTTTTTAAACACTGTTTATGTAATTCTTGGACTTCAATATATGATTTGAGAGCAAGTTATTGTGTGAGGGTTTTTTTAGAAACTGAATTTATTACGAGTTCAGGTTAAACCATTCCGTTCATAAACCGAGTCTTGACGACATTGCAGACGCGTCTTTGCAAAATCTGGCAACAGCGCATGGCCACCTTATTTATTACAGACGAATGCACGTTGTAGTGCGGATAATTTTAATGGTGATTTGTCAACCGGGAGAGATTTATTATGTGAATCGCCGTAGTTTGTTGTGCGGTCGGGCACTCGAATCTCTACCGAGAACAGCACCACCCGATTTTAATTTTACAATTTACAAGCGGTTGTATGACTATTAATGCCCATTGTCACATGGTACGAAGAAGGGAACGTTCCATCTGAAATGGATGATGGGGACATTTCTATTGTGCGGCATTTTTAATGGTTCTTGTTAGCATGATGCACGTACAAATGTTTTCGATAGCAACAGAGATAATGTGGACCACCCTTTTCCCTCTCATAACGGCTAACTAGAATATATAAAGAAAATTATAGATAAAACTGTCACAGCAGAAATGAAATACTTCTCGCCGTTGCTATTGCATCTACTCTCTTCTCAATCTTTGGATTTCTTCTGATTTCTACTAAAACTTTTACTACTATCTTCACAAAATCTATTTACCCTCCACTTTCTTTTTTTTTGTCTAACCTTTCTCATGTTTCTTGTTCTTCAACCTCTTTAACTATTTTATTTACACCTTACATTGCATTTTATGTATGACTTTCTTTTCGATTCCTATACACAATTACATGTCAAAAGAAAAATAAAGAATGTAAATTTGAAACTATGCTGTTCAACGAATATTTCAGGGTCGCTATCCTTATTCAAATCCCACTGGGAGGAACTATTACTTCACCTTCAGCGTTTACCTGCTACTCTTTCTAATTACTATTATCCCGAAACAAATAGAAAATTAGCCTTTAACCATCACCGCCTCTCTTTTCATATCGGTCCGCTGCCTAATTGTTCGTCTTTGTCGCACCCCGCGCTCAGGGTTTTGCGGCGAAACAAAGGAACGTCGTTCCCGCCCCGCCTACTCGATTACCAGATGACTGTCACTTTCCAGGGCAATCTTGATATAATAACGCGAACGGTCTGCTGTTTGCGCTCTACAGCCGCAGTATGACCCCAAGTTTTTTTTAAAAAGAGAGAGGGTAGACGATGATATCGTACATCTGTTTTATCCTTTTCTTCGGGGGTTGATATATTGTCAAGGGAGTTTGACTTTAATTTTAACAAGAAAAAAGTGTAGTTAAGATAATTGGACATTTATTAGTGAACTCCCCCTTGTGGTTTTCAGACAGTCGACATTTGTTTTATTTATTTTTTTTTTATATTTTCCTTTTTTTTGGTTAATACTCATGTTTCTCTTTCTGTTTTTTTTTTTTTGAAAACTGTTTGGAAATAAAGGCATTTATTATTATTCTGCATCAACGAGAAGGTGACGATATTTGAATTGCATTTAAAATATGTAGAGACGAATGTACAATAGCTTGTATATACTGCAAAGAAACGTATTTTGTTGGTGAACAGTATATTCGACGCTTGAAAAATTGGATTCGTGAAATTAAATGATAATAATGTCTCTCGTCAGACAGTGACCGTTTTATAATGTTTTTTAATGCTACAAAAGGCTGTAACGCCGTCGGCTAACAATTCTAACGAGTGGCTTTTGAGCGTTAACTTGGTTTACGTTTTGAATCCAGCACGCTTTTCATTTCCTCTGTTTCTCCCATTTCGCTCGCTGTTTATTTTTCTCTAATGAAATTTACGCGTTTGCAAAGCTCCATTCTGTGTCTCGCTTTTTAATGTGCTTGTGTTTACTACCAGACAAAAAGGCGTAATACCAGCATCACGTTTGCCTGTACACAATTTTTAGTTGCGCATCAAAAAGCTCCGCGTCAATTTATATAATACGGTCCTGGATAATAAAATGAAGATTTCTCTTGTAATTATCCAAAGACGCACTTATTTCCCATCAATCACTGACAGCTCTTTATAAACATCATATTATTTACCTTAATAGACTCAGCTCCATATAAAAGTGATTGCGTTATACAAACTGTGTATTACGCGTGCGATACAAGGCGAATCAAAAATAATCACGGCACTTTCAACTACTAATAAAATAATTTGAGTGACAGATTCTTCATTTTTTTCTAAACCAATGGATTTGGATAATCATACATATGTGGATTCATAGAATAATGATCCATAAAATACACTATCTTTTGACGTTAATTTCTGTATAATTTTTATCACACTGTATGAAGGAACGTGATTAAGAAACAAGCATTATAAATCATTGCTTATCAGTCCTGTTGTATTTCCTTTCCTCGACGCAAACGCCTTGGCTTTTCTTTTTCTTATTGCTCTTTAATTGCCTCTAACTCTGCCTATAAACTATCTCTAATTACTCTCAATCAATGTGTCTCACTCTTTTTTCCGTACGAACACAGCAAGAAATGTTGCACAATGTTTATACTTCATCAAGTTGTAAATATTATGCATACAGGGCGATTCAGAAGACACCGGCATCTTCATTAGGTCTAAAGTTGCTTTAAAAACAAGTATTAAATAAATTAAAGAATAGTTTAGAGGGTCCTGTTTTATTTCCTTCCTTCTAGGCAAATATTGCTCTGTCTTTAATCGAATCTAATTCTGCCTATAGCAAGAATTCTTTAACAGTGTTAATACTCCATCAAATTGAACATAATGTGACAAAGGGTACTATTGGCGCCATCTGTTGGGTGAGTCTCCTACTAGCGAGAGCTCCATGGCCGATCTCTGCTTTTACGCGAACCACGACCGCACAAGCCGCCTGGCGGCGTCTGTGAGGACCGTGGCAGCGACTCACCTTCTAGATCGACGCGAAGTGACCGCCAATATTCTGGATGCCGCTTTGTGGTTCACCAGACCTTTCTCGAAGCAGCAATGTTGGAGTACTGAATGCGTTAGAGTAGCAGAGCGGAGTGGAGTATAGTGCAGTCAATGGCGACATAAGAATTAGTCAGTACATAACTGTTCTATCAAGTTAAATAAATTAGTGCATTTCTTTTTGTGGAATCCAGTGTTTTAATCCACACCCAAAAGAACCCAGAAAAACGCTACAATAATACGTATAGGTACAGGATGATTCAGAAGATTATTAAGCCAAAAGGAGCTTTGAAACCAACATGAAAATTTTTCAAAAATAGATGAATAGAATAATAAATTGGTGTTAGTTCTCACCGTCTGTTTTGGTACCACGTCTTGACTTGTGTGTCCGTCAGGCTCAGTTTGGCTGCTAACTCCATCCTATCTTGGACGCTCAGGTACTTTTGTCTCTCGAAGCTTTTTTCTAACGTCTGCAACTGCAGGTCGGTGAACGCCGTTCGCGCTTTCCTTTGTTTTTTGCTTATCGCGCCGTTTTTCGACGAAATCGAGTCGTCTCCATTTTGGCCTGCAACAAAAAAAAAACAAGTTACACACAAAGGATCGGATTGATCGTACTGGAAAGAAAATCGTTGATATGCATTAGAAGGCGTTGTAAGTTTGTTTAGAAATTTGATTTAAATCGTTTTTTATATGTGTTAAACGAGTCAGTTTTAATGCTTTCTCCGATCATTTTTACTGCACCATCTAAGGCGAGGTGCGGTTTCTAAACGTGTTTCTTATTAATATATAATCGCTTATAAACTGGATTATACTTCTAGGTATGAAGCTGAAACTGATCAGTTCTCATTACGAATATTACGATCGTAAGAGGAAACAGTTCAAGTGCGGCAGCAAAAAATACAAACACAGACACTTTGCATATATTTTAAACGGCTAACGAATATAGATAGGAAACATTAGCAGAATTGACTGGAGAGCGACTATAACCGATTTAGTAATGTGAATCATTAACGCGATTCAACGTTTTTATTATAAGTAGAATGAGAGAAGCGACACTTACAACATTAAATGTACGTTAGAAAAACCATAGTACTTAACGACGTAACCACTTAAAACAGGAAATACAATATAATAGGCATGTTAACATAGTTTGTTTTGATTTGCTGGAGTAGAAAAAACTTCAACGAATCCTTACGGAACAATGAAGAATAGTAAAAGGTTTTACTGAAACATTGATAACGTACATATACAGGGTGACTTTGAAGTTGAGTCATTAATTTTCAGATAATGATTGTAGAAGGAAGATAAACCAAAATATGTGTAAAAATAAAAAAAAATTAAAAAAAATTTTTTACCTTGTTTTATAAAGTATCCTCCCGACAAGTATTTCAGTGCGGACCTGTATTTGATCGTGAGGTCCCCTGTGAGGTCTTAAGTCACCTGATTCACGAGCCCGTTGTACTACATTAACAAAGGCACGAGGGGTTGGTTGCACTCGATTGGGAAACCGATCCGCATAAACATGTGCCATTTTTTATTTCGTTTGAGCCACGCAACAGACACTATTCACACGCGTTACCGACTGACACTGACTGTATGTATAACTGAACTGAATAAAATAATTGTAAAAACATCGTTCCAAATTCTTTCGCTTTTTTGTTTCCGATGCGATGAACCGATAAGGTGGATTATATCCGTTGTTGCCAAACACGAGCACATGATTTATTATTGAGACAGGGCGGTACTCAAACTTCCAAAGGGCTATAACTTTGTTACTTTAATTTTACCAGAAAAATGGTAAAGGAAAAAAACATTTCTTTTGATCAGATCTACTCACTGTTAAAATAAATGACTCAACTTCGAAGTCACCCTGTATAGTAAATACTTTTGATAATCGTTTATGAAATACAGTCGGGTAAAAACATTAATTTCCGTTGCGTTTGATAAGTTTTTGGTTCTAAACATTGGCGAGCTAAACTGCCAGCAATTTACAGAAAAATAAAGCCCCCATTTCCGCACAAAATCCAGAACATACACACACCAACAATTGATCTCGTTCAACGACACAAAGACTTTCCTCTCTCCCTACCACGCTAAATCCCATCAACTCCGCCCAAACTCCCGTTTTCCGAGTCTATTCACGAGTCAGCAACAGCAGCAGCAGCAGCAGCAGCAGCTCGATTTATTCCATTAGCACATTAGCGGAGACTAAGTGTCCCTTTATTCGAGCTTTTACTGCCTTTCTACCACTCTCATCGCGCAAATTTATAATTGAGAATGTTTCCCATTCGAGAAGCTTTCAAAGCTTTCCGAGCAAACATTTCTGTGGTACACCGAGAATACTGATTAATCTGTCTTTTATTGATCGCGTCTTTCAAGCTAGAAGCTTTTCCAAATCAACAAATTAGCTCAATATAGTCTAAGTGGCGAATACATAGTCGTTTCTTGAGGCTTTATTGTAAGGACATCTTGTTTCATTTGTCACTTGATCGTTAAAAGTCAATTAAGGCGACCGTTTTATTACAAGCTTTTATTTAACTTGACCTGTTTATATGACAAATCCTAGAACAGAATTTGGAACCAGTTAACCTTTAACTAATTGAGCTGAAATCTTGTACACACATTTGCTTTGGATATGGATATCAAATGAAAAAGACCGATAACGGAAACGCAATAAGTAAGGTGACGTCATTCTAAGTCCAATATGGCGACCGTACCAAGATGGCGGTTTACATTTTTCATAGTCACCCTTATGCCTATGAGATGGGTATCAAATAAGAGGACTTGATGAGGAAAAGGCAACTATAAAAGTGACGTCGTTCCAAATCGAATATGGCCAACGCTCCAAGATGGCGATTTATATTTGTCATACACACCCCTATGACATGCGTATTAAATGAAAGTGCGCTATAATTCCAATATGGCGACCGCTGCAACATGGCGACTGACATGTGTCATATGATATGTGTATCAAATGATGAGAGGGCTTGATGAGTGAAAAGCAATAGGCATAGTGACGTCATTCTAAATCCAAAATGGCGAAGGCTCCAAGATGGCGATTTATATTTTTCATAGCTACCCCTATGCTATTGGTATCAAATGGTAAGGCTTGATGGAGGCAGTAAGCCGAGCGACGTCATTTTAAATCGAATACGCCGAAGGCTCCAAGATGGCGATTTAAATGTTTCATAGATACCCTTATGATATTGGTATCAAATGGAAGTGCTTGATGGAGGAAATACAGTAAGCCAAGTGACGTCCTTTTAAATCCAATATGGCGAAGGCTCCAAGATGGCGATTTACATTTTTCAGATACCCGTATGGTATGGATATCAAATGGAAGGACATGATGAGTGAAACGCAATAAGCGTAGTGACGTCATTCTAAATCCAATATGGCGAAGGCTCCAAGATGGCGATTTACATGTTTCGTAGATACCCCTATGATATTGGTATCAAATGGAAGGGCGTGACGGAGGAAACACAGTAAGCTAAGTGATGTCATTCTAAATCTAATATGGCGACTGCTCCAGGATGCCGCCACAAAATGGCGATGTTCCGGCTGAGTGCAGGTCGTGATAGCATGCTGTTTGTATATTTGAGTGATTTTATAAATCAAAACTTCGTCAATCTTTGAATAAACAACCGCCAACCTATAGTCCTCTATACAGACCTGAAAGTATGTTTTTATCTAGATCTAGAATTGACTAATCAATAACGTAGCCTTCTGAATCTAACATTATGGTTTTGAATAGTAATCAATAAGATTTGCAGTCCCTACAGGTTCAACTGATAAAAAATCGTTTGCGGTAAGAACAAAAGTGGACTATTAGAGCAGTTTATGCCCTTTTCAAATATGTAGAAAAAATTTATTGTTTGCAATATAAAGGGTGCTGTTTTCATGTAAAAGCGATTTGTAAATGTTTAACGAATTATAACCTGCATTCGTTTCTCTGTTGGTGTCAAAATGGATTCTATAGGATCAGCTGGGTAGACGTATTATATTTCAAAAATTATACAGAGTGATTGAAGAATACTGAAGCTATAAAAAATGGTGAAAATCCATAAAATGTACTTGGTTATAATGGCCTCTACCGCGGTAAAAATACTCGCTTTTCTCAATAAAACACCATGTATAACTCGTAAGAGTTAAACTACTTCGATATTAAGTATAATATGGTGTAGTAATATTCGAATCCAGAACTTTTTATGCCGAATTTAAACAAGGAACCATATATATAGCCATAAATTGGGACAATTTTTCAGTTTAATGATTCAATCAACTTAAAAATCAATTTGGTTTGACCTCATTTTTTCTCAATTAGTCCTATTAATTCGGCTTTTACCGCCTTTTTTTTTGTTTTACAAATTACCTAGTTAAAAATATACATTCAAAAATCGTGCATTTTCATATACAAGGTTAACAATACGTTACTTTTTCAACCAATCGCATTGAACGCATTTTCATTTCACAAATTGATGGTGCATTTCAGACGTTGAAGATAATTAAAAAAAATAAAAACTCCAATAAATTGACTTTGTTTTAATTTATTGCGCTAAATAAAAAAATGTCAGTTCTTTGTGACTTTCTAGATATGCATGGCCAAACAAAGGCAATTTTTTATTTGTCTATTCATGTTAACGTATTCACAGCCATATTCCGTATATTATTACGTGATAATTAGCACGAATTAGTATACTTTACATTTGGAGAACAATTCTCATGGTTTACATGATTATTGAGCGTGTCAAGAATAACGCTGAATAACAGCAGAAGAGAATGATGAGGTTATTAATAATGCAAATGCTAACAAATAATTAGCTTCAATAGGCTATTAAATAAATTAAGGAAAGTGTGATGATTAGTAGTCGGAATAATTAGGAAATAAATAATAACGCTTAGACATTTTTAGATAATGCGCTTGATTGATATGAATATTTTTACGTTCAAATACTATGAAAACGTCCATTCTCCCATAACTGAAATAACCGATGCAAAAACGGCGCCCGGTGTGTATTGATTTATTCCTGATAAGGTTTCGGTACATAATTATACCATAAACTAGTTCTCGGTTTTCACGTGTAAGTCGATGATCGAATCGTATCCTTTTTCATGAATTAAACATACAATCTCGTTTAATTTGATTACTTACTCCAATTTATTCGCGACTAAACATCCGTCAGGTTCTCAGTAATATCAGTTACATTGTCGAAATGTAACCTGATACGGCATAACCTACTTCAAGAGATACGTTCATATCGAGGATTAGTTACAAAAATGTAAAATTACTTCACAAGATTTGTGTTTTTATTATTCTTACTCAATCTTTGTTGAAATTATGTCTTCATTTCTCTCTTTGCCTCTCTCTTTATCAATCTTCGATATTCCTATTGAAACCTTCCAAATTTAAAAGGCAATTTGTATTAATGCTGCATGCGATACTGATATAATACTAAAGCTTTAGCGAGAAAAGCAGTGACAGTCACTACCCTCTTTGCAGCATCTCCCTGTCGCTTCCCTTGTAACCCTAAACCCCCCCCTCACCCCCCGAATGCTCGTCGTTGA